ACTGACCCAAGTTTCATTCTTCACGTTCAGCACACAACATCTCCCTGTTGGCCACGAGGTTTGCTGGATTCCAAACACATTTCCATGTCTACTGCATCAAGCCTATACAAAGGGTTACCCGTAAAATCTACGAAGGACAGTTTTGGAGAGCTGCTGGGCAGCTGGACATATGTAGCTCCTGCAGTACCTCTCCACCCCACCTGTGAGGTATCCTTTGGAATAAGCTGGCCCACATGCTTTCCTGAACTTTTGGAGTCACTCAAGCATGCTAATTGGACCTGCATGCACAGTTGTGGAAATACCAATTTGTAGCTGGTGGGTCAGAAACACAGGGAAAGCCACTGGGATATTTAAGGAGAACTTGAAAGAGGGTCTGGAAGACCCTTCCCTCCACCTACTGGATCCAAGACTATCCCTGGGGAGACAGTGTCAACAATGAGGAGAATCAGAAACTAGCTGGTGTTCATCACAGCAAAATTAATAGTATGGCCAGTGCTGGGGAGAAAATAGGTTTCAGAAGTGATCTGTGTAAGGAGGGTACCACAGGAAAGGATGGGTTTAATTGATTTTTTTATACCACTATCAGAATCATTCATTTCACATCAGCATAGGAGGGGAAGGCTTCAGGCAGATGTATGGTTATGGGCGCAAAAGTACCAGACTTTATTCAGAAATTACACACCATAGAGAGTGCTAGTATAAGACAAAACTTCTTGCTGGGAGAGAACAGACGCCAAGACATGGAGTAGAGGAGTTGCCTAGCAGTAGCTATTTAGTGTGATAATGGCGTTTGATAGTTTGGACACAAACACCATTGTCACACTCCACAGCTCTGCTAAGGAAAAATCTGTCGGCTCCAAGGTGTTAACTTCACATCCTTTTGCTGGCAGCTCCTCTGCAGCTCCACACTGTTACATGAAAGAGCATAGGAAACTTTCCTGAATAACCGGGAGGGTTCACAGAGGCCTTTTACCAGGAGGAGCAAACTCCCGTGGAAATGCACGGCAATTTGTTTACATGTGTTCCTAGGAAGCTTGAATTCCTGGAGGAGACAGACACTTTACACAAACCAAATTATACACGGAAATGACTCCATTGGATTAGTAACTTCCACCAACTCACCTCATGGTTTCCAATCCATCCTTAGCAAGTGTGAGCAGTTCTTCAGTACAAGAAAGTTATGGTGATTTTCTCTTTTCTTTTCTTTGAGACAATGGTCTTACTACATGTCCCTGGCTGGATTTGAACTCAACATATAGACCACAGAGATCACCTACTTCTGCCTTCTGAGTGGTGGCATTAAAGGTACCACTCCGGAGCTTGTGATTGTCATCTGTGGGGCTGTGGCACTAGGCTATGGCCTCCTCTCCATGGGATCTTTTGGACGCAAGACACCCTACGTTGCTCAAACTTTAAATCCCAGCCATTTTCTAGTAGAACAGCAGATAGAAAGTGAGGAATCTAACAAGGAAAGACAGACCAAGGAGAAAACAGTCTAGCTAATACTCATTTTCTAGCAGAAAGGTTGCCCTGTGAGCAAATCCCTTCTGGATTTACTTGTGTTTCTGGCTAAGTATGGTTTCCAACTCCAGCTCACTGTGGAGAATGGGAGGAAGTAGAAGAGTTTTCCCTAACCCTTTGTTTCCCCTAAATGCTAGGAGAGGAGAAGACTGGGAGTCAGTGTCCCACCTTCAGAACAGCTGAGTCGTCACCATTTGACTAGAGATTTGCTCTAGCTATAAACCTGGCAAGATCTAACCAGTGAAAACAAATCCTCCTGCAGGTTTCAGTTCCTTATTTCTGAGCAGACCATGAAATCATCTGTTTAAACCAAATCCTACAGTCTAACCGCCCACCCTCTCCTGTGGGGCTGCAGGCAATTTGCTGCTGGTGGGTTTTTTTTTTTTTAACTCTGTGCTTCATGGGCCTGCCACCCAGCTCTCAAGTAAATACACTGAGTCTTATTCTTACTTATAAATGCCCATCTTTAGCTTGGCTTATTTCTTTCTTTCTTTTTTTTTTTTTTTTTAGCTTGGCTTATTTCTAGCCTGCTTTCTTAACTTAAATTACCCCATCTACCTTTTCCCTCTAGGCTTTTACCTTTCTCTATTCTATAGATCTTCCTTCCCTTCTTATTCAGTGGCAGGTTGTGTGACTGGGTGACTGACCCCTGGTGTCCCCATTTCTTGCTCCTCACCCTTCACTCTTACTTATTTTCTCTGCCTGGCAGCCCCACCTATCCCTCTCCTGCCTAGTCATTAACCTTTAAGCTCTTTAGTAGACCAATCAGGTGTTTTAGGCAGGCAAAGAAACACAGCTTCACAGAGTTAAACAAATATAACATAAAACAATGCAACATATCTTTGCATCATTAAACAAATATTCCACAACATAAACAAATGTAACACATATTAAGCTAATATTCTACAACAATTGATTCCTCCTTCTTCCCTTTTTTTCTATTGTGGGGATTGGCTCATTTTCTTCTGTAAAACCAGCTTCCTTTTGTTCCTCTGTGGCCCTGGCAGGCAACAAGAAAAGTGTGCCATGCAGCCTTGACGCAAATGTTCCTCAGGGGCAGCTTTGTTGGATGCAAAGAGAATAAATGAAACCAGGAAGGTCCTGCTGATGCCTAGCCCTGCCCTAAACCCTTTGCACTAACTGTGATAGGGGACACATGTCGGGTGACAAGTCCTTTCCCCACAACTCCTTCCAACAGGAGATCTATATTGATTTCTCTTTGCAGAAGGACCTAGAACAGAAATTCCCATCTCTTGTTCCACATCCCTCCCCCCCCACCCAGGGATGCCCTGACCATCTCAGTGAGGCTCTAGAATCTGCTTCTGCACACTTGGTAAGAGCAACCAATTAGAGGCGAGGCATTCATTCGTGAGCAACACAGGTCCTGCTGGGAAATGCTAGGAAATCTCCATACTTAAGCCAGTCTGGCCTAGCTCATTTCTGTGGGCTTTGCAGCAGGGCCTGAGAATCTGTCTGTGCTAATCTGCAAAAGACAGAAAGCAAAAGGAAGAGTGGTCATAAAAGAAGGGGGAGGTTTGCATCACACCCAAACCTCTCCTAGTCCCTCCCCTCTGGAAGCCAGCCAAAAACCAAGCATGCTTCTCAAGGAAAAGGTAAACTAACCGACTGACTAAACAACTAAATAAATACATAAACAAGTACAGTTTTTTAACCTACAAAGTAATTCGTAGTGACATTATTTAAAATAAAGAACTGCATGCCATTTAAATAGCCAGCTATAGGAAAATGGCCATCTGCTCACCAGAGTGCATTCTCTTCTCTTCCCAATCATTCAACTGTAGAAAGATGCTGTTGACTTGGAAACAAATTAAGATCTGGTTTTGAACAAAGAAGTAATTTTTTAAAACAACGCATGTAATTTGGACTTTCTGTGAAAATTATGTGGCATTCGTGTTATAAGAGCTCTCTACCAGGTAGAAAGGGAATTGCTATCTTATTTTCCCCTCTATTTGCGTATCTGAATTTCCATAATTTTTACAGTACTTTGGAAATGATGAAAAAAGAAAAAGAATGATAATTAAAAATTTTCAACGTCCCTCTTTCCCCTTCTGGATAACCTAATTTAATAATTCCTTTTTGCAAATACTTTTCTTAAGTTTGGAGGCTGGGACCTATCTAACTCAAGCACACTCATTTGTCACTGTGAAACATAGTTTTGCTGAGAGAGGAACTTTAGGTCAATTTTTTAGCAAATTATTACTAAAACATCTTTCTATACACTATACTGATTTTATGATATTTCATCAAGAAATAAGTTCTTATTTATTAGGGCCCTGTGAACAATTTTTAGAGATTACTAAAACATTCATTTTCTTTCTATGCTTTTTTTGACCCAATAATTAAATCTTGGCAACCCCTCTGCAGGCAATTTGAAAAGACTAACAGAATATTTTCCTGTTCATCCAAATGTCATTTACTAATGAATGTGTCACTGATAAGAAAGCCAAAGTGGTTAGTTCTAGGGTCAGCTTTTAGTCTCATAGTCTAGTCTCATTCTTCAGATTTAAAAGGACACCTGCTCTAAAAGTTTCAGATTGAACACTTGGAACTTCACTAGTTATATCAACAGGAAATGTGTGAGCTAGTTGGGAAGTAGCAACACCTGTTATTTTCTATGACACCCCCTGGAAAAAACAAACAATGCTGAAGACAAAAGTGCATGTCCAAACACCAGCAGGTTTCCCACAGCTAAGAAAAGGCATTGTGCCTCTGCCTGGCCCCAGGAACCTCCCCCCATCTAGCAACCTGAAAGCCTTATTTCCTGAACCTTCCCTAAGGGAGGCTGAGTAAGGGGGTGTTCCTAAGTGTCTGCCTTTTTAAACTAAATTTCTGTGTCATGTCCTCCCTTTCCCCAAGAGGATGGGATTTTTAGACATCCCTAGGGGCTGTGGGTGTCGGTGCCCATAAAGATGGCTCCACTCCATCTTGGCTCAAGGGCAGAGAGTTCGAAACTGTCCTCAGCAAGTCTGAAGACCTAAAGGTCAAAGGCATGCCTTCAGTAGGGTGTTTGATTTTGGCCTTGGGTGTCTTATCTAAATAACAACAGACCTGGACTGACGTGTGGTTATTCCTGACCCTCCAGGCCAGGTATCGAGAAGTTGAATCTCTGAGGCCATGTTCCCCTTTTTGGTTAAGGTATATAAGAGTGGTGAAGAATGAGCTCAGGGTAGATTTCGGTATTGACTGATTGGCCTCCTAATTTTATTCCTGTGTCTCTGTCTTTCCTTTAACATCTTTAGCTAGCTTTCTTGAGTCCTCACTTCCCCCTCTCAGGTATGAATCATGGGCTGCCCAGCTGGCTCCTGAAAAGACAGCTTCCCACATGTGAGTAATTCCAAATGGAATTTTCCCGTTGAATCTATGCGCATGAGAAACAAGTTAGACTTTGTTTGCTCCTTGTTTAATGCCAGGCATCTCTTCTCCTAAGTGGGAAGGAAAGTTCATTAGGCAGGAGGCCTTATAAAAGCCCAGCCTGCACCAAATGCATCAGTGTACACCACAGCTCCCAGGAAGACATCTTGGATTTACAAGTACCGGGAGATCCTGACGCAGTAAGTTCTTGGCTTTTCAGAGAGGCAAAGAGCATCCTGCACAGCTTCATAGGACCAAAGAAGGGACTGCTTTGGGGACTATGTGGAGTTACTTTGCTGCAAAAATAACCCATCAATACTGCAAAAGGATTTCTTAAAAAGCAAAAGGTAGAAATACTTTTGTACTGCAAATCCACACTTGCTGTCAGGTAAAATAGATGTGTTAAATGCATCCACTTGACTGTTTTAGGCCATTACAGTCTAGACAAAGCAAGCCAGTTCCTACTTCCTGAGACTTGCCATCTTTGAAAGCACATGGAGTTTTTTAAAATAGAATGTTCTTGTCAACAGAGAACAAAGCAGCTTTTCTTTTCAAGGAAACCCATCTAGAAAGAAAAAAAAAACTGGAAAGTTCCTTATTCATACATCAGCAAAGTCAGCATTTAAGTCACCAACCAGAGCTGAAGAGAGAATCAGGCAAATTCTCAGGATTTAGGGCCTTGATGGACTTTTAATTAAGAGGCAAGGCTGGGGCTTGCTGGAGGACAGTTTCATCTCTGTGCAGGTAGCCCGCTATTTCTAGCATCCTTGAGGGGGGTGGTACAAATTGGACACACACGTGTAAAAGGAGCAATTGCAACACAGGCATCTTAGATGTATAAGAGCAAAGCATGGTGAGCACTGCCTGTGTGCTCACTCTGAAACACAAGCAAAAAAAAAATCCCATTTTAACTATACCAGCAGAATCTTCACCCAAGCCCTTTGGTGTTATTGGCAACCAGACCAAATTTTAAATGGGAAATGACTTACTAGAGCCACTCCAAGGGTAGAAATGCAAGCCTGCCTTTGGTTCCTCCATGTCTCTCTAGCCTCCCACAAGCCTTTTCTAAAAGGAGCACAAAGAAGCTTCCAGAAAGTGCCCAGCTCTGCTCAGGCTTTCTGGAGAGAGTGAATAACCATGGCAGACAAATTCGAATACCGTGTGTCTTGTACTTGCTGTTGTTCAGAGCTGTGTGGCACATGCCTCAGCCAGCAGAGCCAGCGGCTGGCCCTCACCTCACTCAATGCCCCTGAAGAGCCTCCTTGCCACAGTGAGCTGGCAGGCCCTGGAAGAAAAGGTTCTTACTTCAGACAGCATTTGTCTTCTTTCAGCCCGGGCCCCTTGTCTGGCTGGCAGGATGGTGCCTTCAGTGTCCCCTGTCTCTGCGAGGGCTCGAGGGCAGCTGTGAGTGAGAGAGTCCCGAGCGTCTGCAGCATTTAGGCCTTTGTGTTCTCCCTTTATGGGATCCAGGGTTTAAAAGTAAACAATTCTTTCTCTTTCTGATAAGTCACATTAAATTATTGATTGTGGGGGAGAGGAAGGGCGTGACCTTAGTCCACTAAGTCAGAGTCACCTTTGGTCAAACACTAAGCAAGACTGAAGGTCCAGCCTCCCTATGCCCCCTCGCTACGTGGTGTACATGGAGGCCAAGGGCTGACGCGGGCAGCTGAACCTAGTGAATGTTTTCCTCTCAGAGCCCTGATCTAAACTCACTCCAGTGCTTTCCTCACACCGGAGGAAAGTGGCGCCCGGTGTCACCACCTCACACGTCTAGAACTGGAGACGTCACCTGGTCATATGAACCTGTGACATTTCACCTCCTAGCTCACTGTACTCGGGAGTCTTGACTGGTATCAGGGAACCAATCTTAGGTTCTTGGTCATTTTTGATGAACTGGCATCTAACCACTTGTTTACACGACCCGTATGAAGCCCTCCCCTGACAGTTAAGCTCTGGGAAGCTAAGGTGAGTCGAGGCAAGCAGGACTGATCACTTGGGAACGAGGATAGACACATAAGCAGCGGCAGCCAGGCAGGCTGCAGGGCCCTAAATGCATTGTGTTTTCTCTTTGGGTTATTTTGGTAGGTTGCTTTCTTAAGCTTTAAAAGAAACCCATTTTTTTTAACACTCTCCCTGGCGATGTAATGTGAAGCCAGGCCTTTCTTGAAAAAGTTGGTGATCCACAGCCTTGATTTGTGGGTCTTGTCACTCTCTTTTAGTTGTCATAGTTCTTAGGTAAAAGCAAAAGGCTGACTGTGCTGCAGTTAACTGGCTTCTAGGTCCAAAGAACTGGGGCAGTCCATGTGTCCCAGTCCACTCTGAGGAAAAACACACTAAGGTCCTCTGGGAACAGCTAAGGTCTATCTTCCGGCAGCAGATAGGGCAAACAGGGCATCCCGATGGTTTCTAAAGGTCTCGTTGCGGGAGTAACTGCATGGGTCCCCCGTGGTGTCTTTTGCTTTGCTCTTTTACTGCTTCTCCTACTCACAGCAACCATGTTTCTTTACATGATATACTGTGGGATTCCTCCTTTTGAAGTGAAATGAACTCCTCATAATTCGGCATGCGGACATTCTTTCCAAGGACATCTCTCCCTCCACCAGCTCACTTCCAGCAGCGTCTTTCTCTCCATGACAGTGGATGTCCTTTCAGCCAGACAACTGAGCTGTGGGGCAGGACGTGTAGTTCTGTGTGGTAGACTGTTTGCCCAGAGCAAAGAGCTGCCTCGGGTCAGCGCTCGACCTCAAAGAAAGGATAACTAAATAAACATCAGCACAAAACCCTTTGTCTATAAAAGCATGATGAAGCAAAGTCAACTTCCAGATGATTTTCTTAAACCCCAGAGATGGGATGAGTCTTTTCCAAACTTCTTTGAACACCCTTTAAAAACTGACTCACTGATGAGAGCTGTTACCCAGGAAGGAGGCTGGCAGACCAGTCCCAGGTCGACTCCTCCAAGTCCAGTATCTGAAGTGTGTGGTGTCTCTCTCCATGGGGTCTCACGTTCAAGTTCTGGGAGGCCATTAAGGACAATGGCAATAACCTATATTATTTGGGGAGTCTCTAGAGCTCCCCTGACCAACACCTGGAAGGGAAGTTACTCATACCTGGCAATGAAATTTTTGTTAGCTAGTCTATGGCTCTTGGCAGTGACTGGAGGGAGGTCAGGGGTTAGTATTACTTCAAGTAATGTAACTTTATGCAAATATGTATGTGCATAAAATACACTTACTTATATTTTATATGCATCTTAAGTGTGCATAAAATGTTTCTTTACAGCTTCTTAAAACATACTTAGTGTCATTTACTCATCCTCCTCTTCCTCTGTATTGCCCTTTCTACCCAATTCCAAGCTAAACTCCCCTCTCCCACTTTCCCTGTTTCCCCCATTCATAACACCTGTGCCCTACTATCTCCTTGCCTAGAGCTCCTTCTCCTCCCTCCACTGTGGATTTTTTTGTTTGTTTGTTTTTTGTTTTCTTGGTTTTTGTGGTTGCTACAGGTTACACACTCACATATAACATTTTTGAGCTAAGAGAAAACATGTGGTGTTTTTCCTTCTCAGCCTGGGTTACTTCCATGGAGAAAGGCAATCAAAAGTCCTACCCAACTGTAAAGCCTATGGACCAGCCAAGATATCCCCATGAGTACAATAGTGGCACTTACATGTTAGGTGCAACCGATATCTCTTCAGTTGAACTTAAGGTCCACTCAGTTGGAAGTAAGTCATGCCTGATACAGAAAACAGCTCACTGTCTGGGCTTGGTGGGGTCATAGGTCCTAGAAGACAATCTACTAATGTAATTTTCCTAAACCAATATAGTTCCTAATGACATTATAAATACTTACCCTTACACCCACAGAGAAATGTAGTTCTCACCCTTCATCGAAGAAGCTTCTGTTTGCAGTAGACTGAGACCATTATGGAAAGCCATAGCTAGTCAAATGCACAGAACAATTAATGGTGGGGTGTTCAGCCCCAACTGGTACATCTACAATGCAACCCCTTATACCGAAGGCTCAGGTAACATTGAGGAAGAAGGGGTGGAAAGACTGTTAGAACCAGAGGACAAAGATGTCTGCTGTGTGTGTGACACCTATGACATCTCAACATTATGGTTGTCTAAACAAGGCTTGCGTAACAACAACAGCATCAGTTGACATGCCAGCATAGATGGGGGAAGTCTCACAGGGCTCTACCCCTAGATGGAGAGCTACAGACAATTAACGGCTGTGGAGAGAGGGAGAATCAGTTTACTCCGGGGATGAGCTCCCTGGTAAGTCATCCAATCCTAAATAGTCAGTCCTAAGTCAATACACATATATGAACAACACTACTAAGTGGATTCAGCAGACTGTATTTACATATGCATATATATACACAAAATAAAAGAAGAGGTCATGAATTAGAAAGGGAGTGGGGGCATGGAACAAGTTGGAGGGGAGATGGGGTAGAAAATGATGTAAATACAGTATTGGTGTATGAAATTCTCAAAAAGGTTAAAGCATTTAAATTAAACAAAAAACGTTTTTAAAGAAATAAACAAGATGGGATTCCTTGAGAGCTGGTAGCTCCCAGTCCTTCAGGGCTGCAGTAGATGTCTAAATGCTTGATGTTTGCACTTGCAGGAGAGGCCTTCGCCAACAGGAAAAAGCAAAGCTGCATACCCTTGCATGGACTGCAGTTGCAAGCAGGCTCCACCCACCCTGGCAATTGACCGACTGCTTGATTTTCTCATTTTCCTGCTGTGACCTAGAACTTTTCTGAAAAGAAAAGGAAAGAAAATGTAGCCAGTTTCAATGAAGAGTGCCCAGCTTTTGCCTGGAGAGACACTGACATTTGGGAGTGGGAAGCCTGGGAGCGGTTCAAGATTCTTTACCACTTGAGTTTTTGCCTTTGAACTTCTCTGAGTATCAAAGCTGAGTCCTGGCTTCTTACTTGCTGTGAATCCTCAGTGACACAGAAGCTGGACTGCTCCTTAAGAGCAGAGAAAGACTAAGATGGATTTACAGACATTACAGAGGTCACAAGCTATAGCTTCTCATTAGTTGTTCATTCCACTAGCAAAGAGCCATCTAATTTACCCTGTGTAGGGAGAGGGTTAAGCTCAGTGGGGCGGAGGGAATGTTGGACAGCCGCAGCCTCCAACTGATGATTAAGGGCACTGAAATCACTTTCTAACCGATGTCACAATCTAGGACCTGGGGAAAAACTGAGTGTTGACAGCAAGCCCTGGTTTCATCAATATAGTCTCATGAGGGTCACATATTTCTAACAGCCCTCCAGCTATGAAAGGAAACAGGCCTAAATCACTGGTGCAGCCTGGGAGGGGAGGGTGGGGCAAGGCTTGACTGTGGGGGCCAAAGGAAGGAGGGTCATCACTTGAGTGAGCAGTGCCCACTCTTAGGGGGCAGCAAAAAATAAAAAATAAAACATAGACATCATGACTTTCCCCTTCTAAATACTTTGGCATACATCAGCAAATCGGAAGAGTATTCCACTTAACCTGAATCCCATTGTCAGAGCTAGTTAGAAATTCTCTAATGTCATATTTAGCTCATTTTCAAGCTTCCTAACTATCCTCAAATGTCTTTTATTTTTTTTTCAAATTTTACATGCATTGGTGTTTTGCCTGTATATATGTCTGTGTGAGGGTGTTGAGTCTCTTGGTACAGTTGTTGAGTTGCCATGTGGGTGCTGGGAATCCAACCCGGTTCTCTGGGAGAACAGTCGTTTCTCTTAAGCTCTGAGACATCTATTTAGGCCCCTGAATTGTTTTTTTATAGTTATTTTTTTAAACTATCAGGTGTGATGGTATAGCACTTGGCAGGCAGAGGCAGCTAGATCTCTATGAGTTTGAAGCCAGCCTGGTCTACATAGTAAATTCCAGGACAGCCAGGGCTACATAGTAAAATCCTGTCTCGAAGAAGTCAACAAAACAAAAAACAAACAACCCTCCCAGCCCCCCTCCAAAAACCAAAAAAACCCTACTAACTTCTAGTCAGGAGTCATGTGTTCATTCAGTTTTTCTTTCTCTGGTCAGTATTTCTCAGCATCCTATCAAATGCTGTTTCTGGTACCCACCACCACCAAAGATCAGCCATTGCTCTCAATTTTCTAGGAAGCAGTGGTGGAAATTCTAACATCTCTACCGGTAATAGTGCATCTTTCCCAAGGCACGTATGATCGAATGTATACAAGTTTAGGAGTGTCTAGCACAAAGTGATACTGCAAAGGTTTGCTATCCAATCATCATCTTGGCGACAGCTGTTTACTGTTCCACATTAAAAGAAAAAAGTCAGATTTTCATTTTCCGTTTTATGGAGTCAGATTCCTCCAGAATTTATGGATCTGGATACCAAGTTATTCCTTTGATCAGCGGTTTAACTGCCTCACTGAACTCTTGGGAGTTCACTTCTCTGCTCTCAACACACCTGGCTCCATGGAGTTCATTGTCAGGCTGGGTGATTAGTGTGGTTAAGACACACTTTCCATCCAAAAAGGTTTGCAAGGAGCCAAAGATTTAGATGCTGCAGACACTACTATTAGACAGGGGACAGGGTGAGGAGAGAGGATTTGCTTCCTCACTCTCATGTGCGCAAGTAGGCTTACAAGTGCCACAGTGAATGGAGAGACAGGCTCAGCATCAGAGCAGGGCATCCTGACACAGAAAACAGTCCTACAACTGAGCCTATGCCAGGCCCTGTTGTACTGGTAAAGTGGAGCAGCAGGATTTACATCAGCCAGCCGCTGGAGCCCAGGTAAGACTAGAGGGCATCATCTGCTACTTCTAAGCATAAGGGATTGTAAGATTTGGGGAAACACAGGTGACATAATGTGTTCAGGGGGTTGTGGTAAATACAGGCAGGATTGAGAAGCAGTATTAAAGTACGGGAGATAATGGTAGAGACAGATAATGGTAGGGGTTGCAGGAGGTGTAGGGAATCATAAGAGGTATACAGAGGATCACAGGAGGAACTTTAACAGTTCTCTGGTGTCCTACATGGACTAGAGAGAGGAGGGGACAGAGAAGGGCGTCCCAAGGAGCTACAAACTGCAGTAGGACTGGAAAGGTGTAGCAGCCAGCAGGGTCCTCCTTCAGAAGAGCATACCCAAAGCAAAGGTTAAGAGTTGGGAACTTGGTTCAGATCTTGTCTCTGTTCCTTCCTTGCTGGGGAGGTTTGAACCTAGATTCTATGCTTCATTATAGTTTAATATTATACCTAAATTCTGTAAACTTCAGATAATAATACCTTCTAAGACGATGGCGAGTACTAGGTCACACGCATGCACTCACGCCGCCTCTACTGCGGTACCCGGCACAGGGTAAGCACTCCATAAATATTCTCATCAGACAGGCATTGTAGCGTTGGCAGGAAAGTGTCCAATGGGTGGGCAAAAGGTACGGAATGTTTTCTCACAGCACCCATGGGCTGGACCTTCCGCTTGCCTCTTCTGGCTGTGCAGCCATGGTTTTGGACTCATGTTGCTTCAAGTTCCTCCCTTCACTTTGGTGGGAAAGAAGGGCTCTTGCCAGAGATTTCGGACCAAGGCAGAAGGCATATCTGGGACATTTCCGTCTACCACAGCCTTATGGATGGCTCGGGCTACACAAACAACAGCTTAAATGTTAATTAGGCAGTGGTGTCACGCCTGCCCATGGACACCCTTCTCTCCCACTGTTCCCCCCTCCTGTCACTCAGAGCTGCTATGCCTTGCACAAGAGTCCCAGGGACCACATGGGGCTTTAACAGTCTCACCCCACCCTTCACTTTTGTGGAATGGGACAGGTATCAGAAGTTAGACAGAGGACACATAGGCACAGCCCTCAGAGTCAGGCTGGCTTCTCCTCCCTAGCTCCGCCCTCAGCCTTCCCTGCCCCTACTTAACTGCCCAAGGTGAAAATCAATCAGCTTAGGTTGCCCTGCTGGCTTGTGCTAGGCAATCATAATGACAAACAACAGTATCTCTTCATCTGCTTTCATTTTCCTTCTTGTGCTCTGTAAGGCATTTGATGATTCCTTCCCAATAAAATACAATGCTATGATCCCTGCAAGTTTAATCCCTGGAAGTTTAATCATCCTGAGTGAGGTAACCCAACCTCAAACAGATGAACATGGTATGTACTCACTCATAAAGCAAAGGATAACCAGACTACAATCCACGGTAGGTAACAAGGAGGATCCTGAGAGGGACACACATGGATCACTCTAGGAAGGGGAAATAGATAAGATCTCCCGGGTAAACTGGGGGAGGGGGAAGCAGGGAAAGCAGAGGAGAAGGGGGATAAGAACATGAGGGAAGGGAATGGTTAAGTTAGGGGAAGAGCAATGAAAGAGATATCATGATAGAGGGAGCCATTATGTGGTTGGGGAGAAACCTGGGACTAGGGAAACACCCAGGATTCCACAAGGATGACCCCAGCTAAGACTCCTAGTAACAGTGGAGAGGGTACCTGGACTGACCTTCCCCTGCAATCAGGCTGGTGAATATCTCAACTATCATCATAGAATCTTCATCCAATAACTGATGGAAGCAGATGTAGAGATCCTTAGCTAAGCATTGGTCCAAGCACCTGGAGTTCAGGCGAAGAGGGGAGGAAGGATTATATGAGCAAGGAGTGGTGTCAAGATCATGACAGGGAAACCCACAGAGGAAGCTGACCTAAGCTGATGGGAGCTCACAGACTCTGAACTGACAGCTAGGGAGCCTGCATGGAACCAAACTAAGCCCTCTGAATGTGGGTGACAGTTGTGTCTTTTTGTAGGGCCCCTGACAGTGGGACCAGATCTATCCCTCGGGCATAAAAGTGCATAAACTGGCTTTTTGGAGCCCATTCCTTATGGTGCGATATGATGCTCAGCCTTGATGGGGGGAGGTGGGGTGGGGAAAGGCTTGGTCTTGGATGCCATACTTTATTGACTTCCCGTGGGAAGCCTTACCACCTCTGAGGATTGGATTTGGGGGGGCAGAGAAAGAGAAGGAGGGGAAACTGTGGTTGGCATGTAAAATGAATAAAAAATAAAATAAAATAAAATACAAAAACTATGATTGTTCCAAGGGGGAAAGCTCATATCACTGAAACTAAGTTCAATATTTTCTACTTTGCTCTTGTGTCTTTCTGCAGAGTCTTTTATTTCAATGCTGCCTGCTGTGCTTTTAGAAGCTCTTTTAAATGGTTAATATATAAAAAAAAGTGCTGCACCAAAATGCAGATAACGTAATTGAGGTCACACTGTGGGCAGCAATAACTGAATGTTCACACATTAATCATGGTTATGTCATGTCTGCCTCCCCGGTCAACAGCAATTAAAAATGCCATCAAACCCCGAAGATATTCTACCTTCAGAGACGTCAAAACACGCCTTTCCAGCTAAAACGCGGTTGTTTCATAAACGTTTGATCACTTTTAGCACTTCGTATTTTCACTCTGTTTTCCCTTTCAGCATATTTCCATATCAAGGAATATCTATGTCAACACTTAAAAACAACTTTGGCTGGGTGTCATTGATTAAATTCATTATTTCCCAAACTTATTATGAAGTAAGTTGGCTATTACCTACCTCAAAAATGACAAAGATCATCTTTGTTGAGAAATAATTGTTATATTTTTAGTTATTTTAAATAATTGTCATACATATGGCTTTAGTAACTTTTTAACTTGGTACCAAGAAAAATGGACACAGTGCTCCTCACTTATGAGATCTTTTAAAATTATTGCTCTTATTTGTTTTTAGATTATAGTTTTGTTACATCATTTCCCCCTTCCCTTTCCTCCCTCCAAGCCCTCGCTTACATCCCTCCTTGCTCTTTTCAAATCCATGGCCTTTTTTTCCTCTCGTGTTTTCATTACAAAGTGCATAAGTATGTTTTCAGGGCTGACCAGAGATATTAAATAACCTCTGCGATCTCTCTACTGGAAAATCACTGCTACACGTCAACTAATACCTCCTCAAAGCAAGAATGTCATAAATCTTGTCGTATTTGCAGACCGTCTTTTCTTCACTTGTGTAATCAGATTTAGCAAACAAAAA